CAGACGAAGAAGAGTGGACATGCCCCTGCCATCAGTGGGAGAAATTTAAAAGGTTCCGCCAAGAACGAGTTAGTGAAGATTGTGTGGACGCTGCCAAGCAGGCAGACCATTCAGAATACAGCAGCTGATATTAAAAGAAAAAAGACCCTAAATCAAAGTAAAGGTAGAGCATTTCTGTGTGACTTGACACAACCTGCAGTTCAAATACACGTGCCACATTTTTACTCTTAAAAAAGAAAAGAAAAAAACACCTGAAAATTGTATTTCTGCAAGGCCATGATGATACCTAAAAAGAAAGTAATTTCTTTTTATTTAAAGCCCTTTTAAAAATATATATATATAATTTATTTTTTGTATAAGCAGTCCGTGGTAAGGGATAACATTTTTGCGGGGTTGTGCGCCTGAGGGCAGTGATATAATGAAAATTAAGAAGCGACTGTAACAGTGCCGTCACAGTTTCGTAGAAACACGGCCCATCGCAGTCACTTTGAAAATGTCCTCATTTATTTAAAACAATATTACTAAATATTGAAACAGAGTTAATTATCGTAAACGAAATGTTTCTATATTGAGCAGCTGTGCACACCTTATTTTTAAGCCGTTTTTGCTAATAGCTTTACACTTCTCAAACTGTGCGCCAAGCGCAATAACGAGGTATTTTATTGCTTTAGAATAATCTTCTGCTGCAATTAGTTTGTCATATATTGTCATTACAAGTCTATTAAAACATCAAGTCATTATTTGGGCATCCCCGGGCTGGGGAATTAGAATAAAACTATCTTTGCCACACGGGTCCCATTTAGATTAATGGAAAAATATGTAAAACATTTCGTTTTAATTTTCTTCTGACAGTGTTTTGCATACATGCATTTTCTCCGCCTGCGCTGTCCCTCATTATTTATGAAAGCAATCTCGACCAACACATTACCGGGCTATGAAATACTGCTTGCAGCCTAATTGATTCCCGTCACAATTTTGTGAGGTTATAATCGTGTTAATTGTAATTTAATCTCTCTGGGAATACCGGAGAGATGTATTTAAATACAACAGTCGAGCGAGCTGGGAAGATTTTATCAGTTCCACACATAATAGAAATGTCATGTAGAATTACACAGGCAGACAGGGATGCATTCCTCTAATCTACAGAGATGTCACCTACATCGTTCACTTTGCCTGCCCCCCATTTCCAAATGTTACGGAATTGGAAAGTCGTCTAAGTAAGTGCAAAGATACCAGGAAGGGGGGGGGGGATTAAGAAATACCCAATAATAACAAGATCATTGGGCGGAAGGTAAACATGATATTATATGTGGCTCATTAACCTTCAGAGGGTGTTGTGCTCTTTTTTTTTTTTTTTCAAAACATAAAGTGACCAAATCATTTCCTGATCAGCCACAGACGAGCTGCCCTTTTTGCTTTGTCGCTGCATGATGCCATGTGCTGCTTCCTCTGCTCTGAAATCTGCCTTCCTGTCTGTGGGGACACCTGTTGGCACAGAGCAACTTGGAAAAGCCAGCTTGTCTCATCAGACTGGTCGCTCTGTCATTGCTGGACTCTCATTCTACTGCGCTCTAAACAGTTATTTTATTAATGGCGGCAATGCTACAAAAAAACTAACTAAAACTTGACTAATCAAAATAATCAATGTATGTATTTAAAGTATACTAAATATTTCATCCATCTGCATACTTTCACATTAAAAGCAAGGTGTGTTTGCTGAATACATAAGATAAAGTATACAGATGGAGGGAATATTTAAGACTCAGCATTATATAAAGTGGGGACTGACGCTGCCTAGACAGTCAATCATTTTATTCATTTGCTTTATCTTTATTTCTGCAACTTTTTAAAAAATTCTCACTCAGATCAAAAATGCATCAATAACAAAACACCTAAAAGTTTAAAAAGTTAAAGTAAAGTACTTCAAAGTTTGATGAAAGTCTCCACTGAGTGATTTTGAAACAAAGTTACACCATAATCAAAGCTCATAATGCAACCCAGAGGTAAAAGAACTCATCTCTTTTAATTACTACAGTTTTTGTCACAAGGATGAGCATAAAGACGCCCGAGATCTGTTCTGAATGCCTCGCAAAATAACTCTACCTAAGTAATATTTTGGGGAGGAGGTTTATTTAGTGGAAGTCAAACAGCAGCAGTGTTTTCCACCAAATTCAGGGTATAATTTGGTTGACAACAAACACACACACACACACACACACACACACACACACACACACACACACACACACACACACACACACACACAAGCTGAAGGGGTGGGGAAAAAAATTATGTGGCCAAATGCCAAAGAGACAGCTTACTGTTAGGGTCTTTGGCTGGACCCAGGAGTGGCTTCGATCTTTTTGTCTGGGCCCGGCCTGGCACAGACACCAACCCTGCCCCAGACACAATAGATCATACAGTAAGAGATAGAGAAAGAGAGATGGAGAGAGAGAGGGAGAGACAGAAAGTGGATGACGTGGGGTAGAGGAGGTATGGCGCCTTTCATTACCATGGTCACCAATGGCACTATTAACCATTCAACACCCCCCCAATTATCCTCCTATCCACAGTCAGAGAGAGACAAAGCCCCAGTCCTGGTCTGCTGGAGCAACATGGCCACTAATCTGTCTCATTCTAACATCACACCCACTTCACTGTCTGTGCAAGTCAGACACGGACAAGCACTTCACAAAGCCCCTTTATGCTTCTGTTTGTGATGAGACAAACTTCTCTGCCTCGCTCGCTAACGAGTTCATCTTTATGTTTCGCTGTTTATAAGATTAAAGTTCCTTAGATGCCAATTTAATATTGGATCACCTTAATCTCAAGATAAATGATTCATATAAAGACTACTGCTACCAGCTTGTGTACTTTTTTCGTCGAAGTTAATGGTGAGACTGACGCCACACGCCTTCTCCATCAACACACAATCAACCACAGGCTCACAGCTGTCACAGAGAGAGCTGCATGCCATTACTAAGGAGAATGATACCAAAAAAAAAAGCTAAATTGTGAGTTTATTCGCTTCCATCTGGGTTTTTCTTTTCTTTTCTATTTTTAAAAAGCAAGCAGGACTTTGATGTTTGTGAGTCAGACCCTGCACAGGGGGCTGAGGCCTGACTTGAAGTCTGGGGCCCAATGAATAGATCCACAACAGTGGCTTGTTGTGTTTGTTTACCCTTTTGCCCAGCTGCCTGGACCGTGGAGATGGGAGAGCATTTATCATGACCTAGGAGAAAGAGGAGGCATGGTCACACACACACACACACACACACACACACACACACACACTGCAGAGCATGCCAAGAAAGGCAATAGTCCTTGTAAGTGAGTTTTAAGAGGCAAATACTGTCGACACATGATAGTTGCAGAGTTGGTATTGCTGAAAACAATGTGAATTGGACCTCAGCAGAAAAATTAACAACAGTTTTTTTTTAAAAAAAGGGAAAAAAGCTACATAAATCAACCTTAATAAAACCAAAAATCACAAATGAAATCCACAGTTTCCACACTGCATTTGTGTGAAGCAATGAGACGATGGCTGAAAAGTTTTTGAAATGTCACTTTAGCCACGAGACCAGCAGCCTTTCCAGTTTCCTTTGACCTCCACGTCCCAGATTAGTCGTGTGGTTCCTGCCATTTCTTCTCACCAGTTGTGTTATTTCCTTGGCACCGCGGCAGAGAGTGTTATTATGTTCTGAGCCTGCTTCAGCGAGGGCATGTCTATCATGCTGCCGAGGAAGGTGAACGCACCCTGAACAGGTTTGCAACACAAGGGAGAACACAGAGAGAAACATGAGATCAGACGTGCCCAATAAAACACATTTGATCCTGATTTGCATGACGAATGCTCGGAATGTCTGCCGTACAATATAACCCTCGAGTGTTATTTAAACTGACATTTAGCAGCAGACATATTAGTCAAAACAAAAAATCTGCAGGAAAAAAAAACCCTTTAGTCAAAATTGTTGTCAGTGGCTGGAGGTAAAGATTATGAAAGGCAAGCACCTGTCACATTGTAAGACAAAGGGACAAATCCTGCTCACCATTCAAACCATTACGTACGCACTCCCCTCTCACACACAGAAAGACACGTACACATGCATACACAGCAGAGGGATGGGTAAGATATGAATCCCTCGGGCGATGCTTAGTAGGAGCAGCCCTGGCAGTGAGAGAGGTGTAGGCAGATTGTGTATTACCTCAACAGATAGACCACAGAGCTCAGCACACAGGATCCAACCATGCACTAAATTAGGAACAATAATATTGTACACTTAATTGGCCCAGCTCCCCCCACCCCTCCACCCTCCTATGTTGTCTCTGAGAGTCACCCAGGGGCGTACAGTACGTATTCTCTGGAACTACAGAGGTGTGTATCACAAAAATTGTGTATCACAAAAGATCGGTCTGAGTGATAGAGCAGAGAAAGACCCCGGACCTGTCAACAGACAGTCGACACAGATATTTTACTGTCCTGGACACGACCATTTAAGGGGGAGGGATCACTTGAAATACTCTTACATCATTTATAATAAAGTCAATGCATCTTCTGAATGATTCACAAAAAAAATATTACTGTATAAAAGAATAAAAATGGAATTCAATTGTCGCTGCAGCTTGAATACAATTGCTAAAAAAATCAATTAAGAGTCAATACTAACAAACTGATAACCAAAAAGAATATACAGAGTCACATTTTGGGTTAAAAAAAATTGACATTTAAGGCAAATGACACACCCATCTATGGAGCTGATGAATTATAACAAATTAATAAGATCACCTTCACACTTACATTTTATCAGCTACGAGAAAAAATGTTAAGACATTTTAGACCAAAACACTGCCATCACAGAGAAACTCCACTGACTTTTCAAAGTCTGAAAAAAAATGCAGTTTTACTTTTCTCAAAGGATGTTAACATTACCTTTCCCTCCTTCTGATGTTGGTCAAAAGCAGCAATGAGCTCTTTGGCCCACTGGACCCTCTCCTTGCTGGGGGAGAACTCTTCTTGCACAGCTTGGACCTGCCCTGGGTGGATAACCTGCTTACCTACGGAGAAACACACACACACAAAAAGAAAATTAACTGTGCTAATTATAACAGCGGGGTTTCAGTGCCTTCAAATGAAACCAAAAAAAAGAAGAAGAAGAATGTGTTCTAAAAACAATGCTTTTACTTGTTGATATAGAAGTAATATAATTCGTGCACGACTAAACCAGATAAAATGCTTATTTTCATGTGAACTGCTGCACAAAGATGATAGAAAAAGAAAAGCAGGCTGAGAATTAGGAAGGACTGAGGCCGAGAGGCAATGAGAGAGGAGAAGCAAGAGAGGATTGTATAAGTTTCAGAATGACGATAGTCAGGAAGCTGAACGGGGCCAGACGATGCTATGCATTATGACAGATAAAACGTGTCTCCGCTCTGCTTGCAGCCCTGCTGTTAAGCAGAAATGTCACTAAATGCTTAGTAAGACTTCATTATGTGACAGAAGTCATCTAAAAAAAACATACTTACTGATGAAGGAACAGTTTGTGAAAGAACAGTTTGTGGGCATACACAGGTAAGTAAATCACTGGAAATTGACAAGGAAAAACAAGGCTAAATAAGACAGTGCAATGTATATGAAGTGTTAATTTTATAACCACAGTGAAACAGTTAATAATCCAATGTCTGAATTGACACGTATCATTTTTCTATATTTAATTTTAGGATGCCATATGATCAGCAACCCTGCCTTCACAATGACACTGATCTTAAACAGAATCCCAACATGGATTTTCCGGCTCCATCTGCCACAATCCCCCCACCTTCCCGCTCCCACTTCCTCTCACTTAAATGTGGGTGAACGCCACAGACATAATCCCATGTACATTTGCAGATCAAACTTGTAGTGATAAGTTAAGGTTATGAAACGTCTGGGTGAGAACGGCGGCTCTGAGGCAGCCAGCAGGAACTCGACACTTTAGGGCTTAGCACTGTCGCCAACAACAAATCCTTCAAGGTGGCTGAGCGGGCAGGCGTGCTGCACGGGCTAAAAAAAAAGAAAAAAAAAAAAGGGGGGGGGGGGATTCGGCCCAGGAGAGAGGAGGAAAGGCAAGGAGGGGAGACGGGGCGAGAGAGAGAAACCCTCTCTTCATCCTGCTCCACTCACCCTGGTTAACCCTAGACAAACCCGCAGCGCTCGCACAATCAACACGCCATCGTTAAAGGCTCGAACAATTACTTATGAGCCCACATAATTCATAAACTGCCATTTGTAATAAATAGACACCTTTTAGGAAAGTGTGCATATGACAAAATATGTTCAAAAACCCATTCTGTGTGTTTGTGTGTTTGTGTATTTGCGAACTGCCAGTGACTGCTGATGGGGGCTCAGTGTGTGAAGCAGAGATTGTGACAGCACATTTTCTGTTGAACAAACAGCCCGAGGACTCCCCAGGCCACTCTGGAGTTGTGTATGAATGTGTACTTGTATGTCTGCAGGCTTGTGCATGTGTGCATGTGTTTGCGCATACGCCACTGCAACAGTTAGTCTGATTCATTTCAACATAAAAAAAAAGGTAGAAAGCAAATATTATGTGATAATTTTTCAGTGGAACATTGTGCCTGTATGTTTAATCAGAAGTGAGAGAGGACGAGTGTGTGTGTGTGTGTGTGTGTGTGTGTGTGTGTACCCTTCTCTGCCACCTGTTTTACTTCTGGGCAGAAGACGGGGGCATGTTTCCACACAGAAAACCACCAGGTTTATAATATGGAAAGAGGGTGTCTATTTGCGTCTGTGTGAGGGTGTGTGTGGTTGTTTAGGACAAGGGGAGAATGACAGAGCGAAGAAGCAGACAAGGGTGACTCAGGTGCCCTCAGTTACAACCCATTGGTTCTCCTAAAATACATCAATCATGCCCTCCAGCCAATCCCGGCCTGCCATGTGGTGCTGGCATCTCATTGGAGGATTGCTATTTAGCAAAGTGCTCTCAAGCGAATGATGGCCAGGGTCCCAGGGATGGAAGTGAAATGTGGTCCCTAAGAGCAGAGAATTTGTGGAACAGTGCTGTTTCTGAGCAGCAAACATTTTCACAGGGATCACTGAGCCTTAACAGGAACCTGATTTATAGCGCATTAAAAAAAAGTGCTAACAAAGTAAAGAGTGAACTGATAAAGAACTCAACGGATGATATTCCTCCCCAACATATATTTGCATAGGAGTTTGGCTTAATTTCTGCTAACCAGTAAACAGCAGCGAGTGTTTACGTTTGAACAGTGTGTTCCGTGCTCAGCACTAATGGGTGCTGTATGCGGCTTAGTTAGTGCCAAGGTCAATTACTGCACAGGTAGAAGCTTTTGGCTGCACCGCATTATTGCTTAAGCACACTCGGGCCAGTAATAGCTACTAACTAAGATTATACAGAGTGCCCATGGCTTGAAAGCCACTAATCCACTGCTTTAAACAGTTCTGCTCCATATCAAATCAAAAGCATTTATTTCTTCAAATGACCGTTTCTGTTAATTCGTTTTTAAAACGTTTGCTTCATGTAAACCACACTTCAGATTTCTTTTGATTCTCTGTTTGCTTGGAATCACGCCGAGTCCAACAACTAAACAAAAACAGTATATTACACGTCTAATAATGGCACTAATGTGAGGAACCCCTGTACTAAACATAATATACATTCTGAGTAAAATTGCAGCATAATTAAAACAAACAAACAAGAAAAATGTAAAATAAAAATAAAAATAAAAGGCACTTGGCTATAGTGCAATATAGAGTAATTCTGAGATAAACACAATCAAAAGCATGCACACAAACATGCTGCACCAGAGAATAGAGGTGGCAAATGAGGTCACCTGGAAGGGTTTCTGTATGAGACAACCAAAACCAAAAAATCAAAAGCAACAAAAGAAGCTCAACTCCAGACTGATTTGTTGATTTTAAGTGCAAGGTAACGCGTGTGTCGAGTAGATGTTCAGAAGAGTGTACAAAGGGATTTACGCTTTTTGTGCCAGTGCTTATTTTTTCTCCATCTTTTCCCAGTGTGATTGGCGACTAATGTCCGATGCTGTTCTGCTAAAAAGATCTGAAACTGGGGCAAAAAATAAAAAATAAAAAATCCTAGCCATTACAAATCCATGAAATTCAGTCATGTGTTGCCTTAGTTTATGTGGATCTACACCACACGGGGGGAAAAGCTACATATATTTTGGATTTTAAAATCTAAAAAATGGTACAAAAATATCAAAGAATTATTTGCAGGATTGCAAGAACAGTGCCTGCAAAAACACACTGTGGGAACAGGTTGTCCTGCCTTCTGTGGTCTGTTGCAGGCAGTCTGCAGGGCTACACACACATACACACACAGACACACGCACACACAAAAAGCATGACCTGGCTATAGACACACTATCACACACTAATAACTCCTTTTAATTATACATACTCAAGTGCACACACACCCATTCATACAGGCACAAAAGAAATGTGAGATCTTCATTGCAGTGTGCAATACAAGTATATAAATAACAAATGAAAAGCCAAAGGATGCTCTGTCACCTCCCACAGTGTTTCATGTAACATTTTAAAGCATTTATCAGCTGGTTCATTCCCCATTCTCATTTGGAGAAAAAAACAAAACAAAAAAAACCCCACATGTAACAGAGGGTAGAGGGAGTGAAAGCTGAACTGCCTGTATGCCGCTTGCAACAGGAAGTAAGGGATGCCCGTTGCCATGGTATATTCAGGAAGGTAAAGTAAGAGCAACAGATGAGAACAATGTGAAGCAAATGCAGAAATCAGAGGTAAATCACAGTAACAGACATGATGTCTCAAGTCATGACTTGAAGGAACAAGGACAGATTTCAGATAAAGAAACAAGAAACTTTACCTGTGAAGCCCATGAGAGCGCCTTCTCTGGCCTGCTGCCTCAGCCCCTCCACATCTTTGTAGTCGATGTAGACCAGGTCAATAGCCTGTAGCCCAAAGGCTTTGGCAGTCACAACCACCCTCTGCCTTGCATAAAGGAGCTCTCTGGCATCCTTGGTCCGTGTGGCACCTTATGAAAAAAGTCCAAGGACACATGCACAGTTTGCCAGACAAGATCTCAAAGAGACGCTGTTGATCTGTAAGTAGGTGTAGGTTAGATGAAACTGTGATGGGCGATGAGCAGCAGGTATTACATAAAGTACACTGACACATCCTTTTATGTAATAAAAAATAAATAAATCAAGGTTTATTCTGTCATTTCCGATTCTTGCTGCCAAACAGTCGATTGGGATTATTAACCACTGGTCTCTGTGCTTCATTACCCATTAACTCTGTCCTTTAAAACAAACCTACTCATTGGGTTTAATGATAAGAAACAAAAACCAAAGAATAATCATTTAGACACAATGTCCTTTTTTACTCATGTGACCTGATTCAGTGAATTAGATCTTTGAGTTCCAGCACATTTACATTTATACATTTATCACTTAGGTATCCCACGTCTGTAAATCATCCCTTATTTCGACTGGAAAAAAACGTCTTCCCTTTTCCTGCAGTTCTGCAATTGTGTGTTCAAAATTGAGAACATGTGACATGCATTATATTTAAAGACTAGCAACTAAGCTTGTGCATTTTACACAATTTGAACTTCTCTGCCATGAATCCAGGAGGAGAATAAGAGAATTTGGGGTCAGCAGTGTCAGAATGTGAAATAGCTACCTATGCTTGCACAGAAGTCATCAGAGCCAAACACCACGCCATCATGGTGCAGACCAACCTTAGGACCAAGCGAGCGAATTTCCTCACACACCGCCTGGAAAGAACAAACACCAGCCCGATTGAGATGGGTTAAAGTAAAACAGACGAAAACAGGCTAAACTGTAACAAATGCTCCTAATTTTACACTCGTCACCACAAAACTATCCTAATTACTCTTTCTGAAATCTTTAACATAAAGGTAATATAATAACACACATCATTTATCTCTCCCAATTACACTCCAAGCTTTCTTTCCTCAATGACTCATATTATTATACCAGCCCACTAAAGGTGCCACCTGCAGGTATGTAAACAGACACCTGGCTCGCGGCTCTTAAGGAAAAGTTGCATATCAAGCCTCCCTGCTATTTTACACAAGGTTTAATTTGTTAAGACGGAAGCAGTAAAGTTTTTAAAACCTGTAAGGTAATCTTAAATGTTTCCTGTTTTTTTTTTAATTTAAATGATTAAATGTTTACATTTTTGCATATAACAGAAAAGTAGTTTGTGTTAAGAAAACACGAATCACTAACACATCGTGGAGCTGCTTTATTTTACTAAAGGAAAGTTTTTCAAATTATATTTCATTGCTCTTCAAAAAAGATTTGAAAAAAAAAAAATCAAACAACAACAACAAAAGCAAAGACTAATGGCTCCAATTATTACGGGGGAAAGTAAAACTTTAAAAAAGAAAGAAACCCTTTCGAATGCGATTGTCTGTGGCGAAGGCTGTGAAACAATATGAACATGTTTCCTGCTTTTGTTGGCCTCCAAATTAATTTCACCACTAGCTGTGCCACAGCGAGTTTTTTTTCATGCTTGTAACCCTGGGTTCAGTCTGGGCAAAAAAAAAAAAAAAAAATTACAGGGTGTTCTCAAGACAGCACACAGAGCCACCCCCTGCCACCAAAACACATATACTTCCAACCACAGCCCCAGAATTAGGCTGAAGAACTAAAAGACAAATCAGAAGAAGCAATGACAGCTGGTTTCTCCCCAAATGCCCCAAACCGTGCCCTCTTTTCTCGTGTAGCTGAAGGTCGTGATGTACTATTACCAAAAAAAAAAAATCACTTTGATGCTATCTGAAATATCATTAAGAACTTTTGCACTGTGACGATATTAAAATGGTTCTAATTAAAAAATGTCAGCATGTCTGAAGAGGACAGTCAGAGAGAGGGACACGCGACGGAGAGGTAGAAAAAAAAAGCCTCAAAAGGCTCGTTTTGAGGGGGACAGTCTGAAAGCTTTGAATCCCTTTTATTTTAGACATGTGGAGTTCTCTGCTCACTGATGCAGTCTTTAATCTAAAGTGAACAATGGACAAACAGAAAAATGTCTTACGCATGCAGTTTTTTTTTCCCTTTTTTTTGTGTGTGTGGAGGGGGGAGATGTTGTTTGTAATTTACCTTAAAATTGAGCAGGCCCACAGCGGTTTCCACAAAGGTGATGAGGCGAATGGGTTCTGTCAGTGCCCATCCTTTCAAGTGGTGCTGAAACCTGTCAACAAACTAAGCACACGGGGACCATTTCATGCTCGTGCACTCATTAACAAAACCCACTGTTTCTGTGAAGCGAATGCAATAAACTCATTTGCTCTCGCTACCCTGTACAAGATAATACACAGGATATTTGTGCTTATTTGGAGCATTCAATACATGTCTTAACACTTACCATAGGAATATTGAATTTCCATATGTATAATCATCTTAAACCCAGTTACAATTTCTTGGATAATTTGTGCATCTACTCTGCTGCAACCCTCAGTGGACTTATCAGCGCACTATTAGTTAAGCGAATGAGAAAATGCAACAGAAAGAGAAATCTGAGGCACAGAGCGATTGTGTGGTTGTGTGTGTGATTTTAAAAACTGGAAGGAAAAAAAATATTCAGCAGTAACAATCGTAAATGATTTGACACATCTTTCAAAAGTCACTGTGGGATAAGACAGAGAAGGTGGAGAGAAAAAAAATCTTAATGTGCAAAAACTCACTTTTGATACAAATCTTGACACCTTTATTACTTGCACTGTTCCCATTTCGGTCCTTATTCAGAGGCACATCTATGAGGGTTCAAATAGCGCAGAGAGCAAGCACAGGAGAGCGGCAACAAAAGCAAGTGAAATGAAATATTTTACATTATCACCAGGGTTCCCCCCTTCGTCTGAAGTCTTCTGCTCTACCTTCTTTCAGAGGCTCTGCACAACTACAGAATGTGCTCCCCCGAGACTGTGTGCACACATGTAAATGTGCACACGCACGCCCCAGCACATGCACACACACTCACACACAGCAAAACCAAAGAAGAAACAAAATACGGAAAAGGGGAGAAGAAACAAGATTTAGGATGTCTTTGAGTGTGTTTTACTGTGACATTATTCTGTTTTGCGTCCCTCCTCCGTGGCAGGGAACAGGGAGACTGGAGCAACAATCAGAGTGTGATGTGACATTTTGGTGAGGCCTTTATCCTGCACGACTCCTGCTAATATGCAAGCTCACCTAAGTAGGCCTTTAAAACCAAGTTTAATTCTTTGAAGACCAAAGCATTCCAATTTTTTCCAACAGACCAGTTCACAGCTAGCCCTGGACTGCCAGTGGGGTAGCCCAAATTCCTAAATCTATCATCTGGAAACACACAAAAGCCCCCTCCGTCAGATATTTCCTTTCAAAGCCAGACAAAAAAAAAGACAAAAAAGAAGAGAGTGCAAAAGCTCAGAGTAGAAATGTCTACCTCCATGTCCCCCCCACCCTCCCCCCATGCCGTTTTCTTCCTCTTTGACACACTGGGGGGAAAAAAAAAAGAAAGGACGGTTATAAATAACCTCAGGTACGGTGCTACTATTTTTCTAAACGAAGAGCAAAATAACCCCCACGCTCACACTCACCACTCTTGTTCTCAAAACTGAAAGAGTGGGCCTCCATTGAAGGATTTCAAAAAATAGGGGCAATTTTAATCATCTCTCCATTCAATCTCAGTTGGATAAATCATATCTGAGAGATTTGCATAAATACAAACCATCAAAGTCTTTTCATCTTCAAAGAGGTTTTCAAGACCCAATAGGCTTTGTACTGTAATCATCTGAGGTCACAACCCTGTGGGAGCAAGGTTGCTATGGCAACATAAAAACTAACGCTGGGGGCTTAGCATAATATCCCCCCCCCCCTCCTTCACAAACACAGGAAGGGGTGCGGGGGTCCGAGAGGGAGTGTGAAAAGAGGGTGTAGATAAACCTATTTCTGTGACAGAGGAAACTAGATAGATATGGCCTGTTGTGGGGAAACCTATCTGATATTACACACGGAGATTACCACCAAAACGCTGCGCCATGCAAACCCTAACAAGGCTGAGTGGACTGTTTGGTTTCCACCAAAGGGAAACAAATGACAGCTCCACGCAGTACCGCCGGCTGAAAAGCCTCCGAGGCTTTCTGATTACATGTTTATGTCCTTCTGCTGTATTCTCCTCCTCAGCTATTATACACTTTAAGGGTCTGATTTACACTGCATACAAGAGGTACTACAGTCCTTGTTCACTGGTACTCGGATGGGTGCAGCAACCATTAGCTATCAATGGCTCTTAAAACTAGGTCCTGTTTAAAATGTTATTCCGCCCAAAAAGGGAAAAAAGAAGCAACGTTAAAAGAAGAAATAACACCTCTTCTCTTCATTCAAAGCCACGCTGCAAACAAGGCCTCTGATAATTTCGCCACCCAATCATGAAAAGAGAAGGAGGGGGAGATAGAGCTAGAGAAAGGAGGCTATAGTGGGACAAGTTTCAATTAATTTTCTTCAAAAGGGGGCCAGATTAAATGTTTCCGGCCAGCTGAAGTGTTCATTTCACAGAGGGGAAGCGGAGAAAGGGATGAGGGGAGGGGACAGGAGGAGGAGCAGAGGAGGAGGAGCGGGACAGGGTGCGATTCTTTTGGTCCCAGTGCACACCAAATAGTGTGGTGGGCAAAGAATGCACACGGCTCCGAAATCTTTGTGAGAATTGTATTCAAACAAAGGAGGGAGTTACGCCTGTTACAGCCCAATAAGGCCTGTCAGTCACACAAGGGCCGGAGGAGAGGAGAAAGACAGAGGAAAAGATTTCCACACAAAGAGAAACAAGCAAGTCCATCTTTTAGCGACAAATCAGTCTGGAGGTTCCTGAGCTAATATCAATAAAAAGGGAGGAAAATAAACAAGTGAGGGGATTTACTGCACTGCCTTACAAGAGTGGAGAAAATCAGACACTTGTTTACAACACAAGGAACATGAATGCGCACACAGACGCACAAAAAAAGTACAAAGCGCTAGAGACTGAAAAAGTTGGGAGGGATGGGATAAAGATAAGACTCAGGTCCTCATCGAGTGCCACCAAGTTCACTTTGTCTAAGGGTACATATGCACCAACTGATGCAAAAATCATACTGGCAAATAAATCAAATGCTTAAAACAAGCAAGCTACCTAAAGGCTTTTTCTCTCAAGGGGTACAGTAACAATATAAAGGGCTAACTTAAGTTTTTGCATTAATATTAAAAAAAAACCACCACATAACATAAACAGACAGTTATCCACAACTTAAAGCTTTCTAAGTTGGCTGAGTCACAGCATAACAACACAAGTGGATTTTTTTTAAAGTAAAAAAAAAAAAAAACTTTCTTAAGTGAATAAAAGCAGCCAAGGGAGAAAGGAGCTAGGGGAGAGAATTAGTGAACACCTGTCAGCAATTATACTTGCAAGAAAGAAAGGGCAGCAGGAAATAGACATGTTATAATTAAAGCCACTAGTTAAAAACTTCCTGCTCCTTCCCTCAGACCAAGTATGAGCATAAATGTGTGCGTGCGTGCATGTATGTAATAACACAGAGGCAAAAAGAAAAAAAAAAAGAAGCAGACTAGACATACACCTTCACAACGTGTCGCAGTTGTTTAATCAACTGTAACTGTTCTGAATACATGCAGCTTGATATAGTAGAGACCAAAAAATGTTACTTTAAAAGCTATATCCCCCACTTTGCATTGCTTGCCTGGGGTACTCAATGCAAAGTGACAGCAAGAAAAGCATTTAGACGTAGTTCGAGCACCGTGCCTTTTTTATGAAAATGAAGGCCAGCAAATGATGTCGATGCAAACAGTAAGTAGACTGGGAATAAATCTTGCTTACCCTGGCATGTGACTGGAGCTGATCATACAGGTCTGCATTAATGATGTCAATGTCTGCTGACTTTTTGGGCTTGACTTCTCTACATCTGTTTTCCTGGTCTTGGCCATCTTGGTTTGTTTTCCTGGTATTGGCCCTACCTTTAATCTATAGAAAACAGAGGTAGGGCCAATACCAGGAAAACATCTAACACTATTGCTTCATATTATTATCAATTCAGTTTAGCGACCTTTTTCAGAGAATCAACCTTTTTAATATCTGGCTTCAGTTTTTGATAGCCTAACCACGACTGCACTGCCTTTTTTTGCAAGTTTGCACATGTGTAAACATCTGCAACATGCTATATTTAAAGGTGTATAAGAATAAGAGAAAGTAATGAATCTGAGGCATTCTGGTTTGGCTATCGGGTATTACATTTGATTAAATCAGTTCTTAGACGCAACAGGACACTGTTCACAGCAGTCCTCCGTGAGTTCACCAGAGGCAGAAGGCACCATTGCGCTCTTACAGAAAGTTATCAGGCTTCTGAAGTTAAACCGAAGAAATGTCATCTGTTTCTTGAGCAGCAGCCAAGAAAAACACTCTGTCTGTCCCTGACAGGGATCGATTCCCTCTTTTACTTGGAAACGGGAAAGCTTGTTATGACTGCTTTGAAGATTCCCGAGGTTTCTTCTTACTTCATGAGTTTGTGCAAGATCACCAGTGCTTTTTAAAAGACTGTCAGAGTTCAAAGAAAGAAATGCAATGGGAACTTTAAGTGCAGCTGTTTTTTTGCTGTTGTTTTTTTATTTATTTATTTACTTTTTCATACATTTTTTATAGGCTCAGAAAAAAACTCAACTTGTGACTTTGAGCCTATTTTGATTTTGAAAAACAACAGTTATTTATACATGACGATGATGATTTTTCACTCACCCATTGCACTTCCTGTGTGTCCTCCACTTTGGGCAACATGATGGCACGAGGGAGAACCTTGGCCTTCAAAATTACCTCCAGGTCCGCCTCAGCCAAGCCACTAGACACCGAGTTCACTCTCACACACTTTTCTGTACGGCCCAGGTCCAATTCCGCTAGCATCCTCGGAATAGTTTCTCTGGCTTCTGTCTGTGAAAGAAACCATGATTTGAAGATGCAGCATATAGTTGTTTTAAAATAAGAAATGAAAGTGTGTGACATTGTTAGATTAAAAACTCTGCATGGTGAAAGCACGTACAGTTAGATTTCATCATTGCTATAGTAGTTATCTACTAAAACAAAATGCTTAAAAAGGACAAAAATCTCTCTGGTGCTGAAAAGTACCTACTTTGATTCAACATATACAAAATGCAAGTTCTTAAAATTTGCAAAATCATTGGAAAAGTTCAGTTTTCATCAAGGAAACTACAAAAGTGAATTTGGACACTGAGATGAGCATGAAAATAAACCTCGCATTATGAACACAAACTGTGTGATCAAAATGAGCGGCCGACAAAGCACACAAATACGAAATGAATGACCTCAAAATGAAACATTAAACGTGCATGAAAATACAAAACCAAAATAACATAACATAGATCTGCACTCTTTTTTCCTCTGTAGTGCATCTATATCCAGTTTGTCAGAACAGAAGCTGCACACTCAGCTTTGTTCTCTCAACGTTCTCTCATTGTAGGATCTGAGCAGGAAGAGAGATGATGAAAAATCAAAGAGAAGCCTACACTCCCTACTTCTATCGGTAACACAGTAGCACGCACTGCAATATTCAAACCAGATGCTGGCTACAGGAACGGAGAGAAAGATGGATGGAATGGGGAGAGAAGCCAGACTAGGGAGAGCAGAGAGGCTCAGTGGGAGAAATGTGGTCTGAGTTAAGCAGCATGAGGAAACGGTGGCTTAGGAGTTGTCAGCTCAGATCAGAAGCTGGAGCCTTTGAGTGCTTGTGTATAAATGTGTGTGTGTTTGGGAATTCTCATACTGAGATTTTTCTCCTGATTCAAAGACTACCACTAACAAAATGTTAAGAAATGTACACTCAACCTGATGCCAATTGCTGGGTGAACCACAAAAATGTTCCGATAACTCGTGAAATAAATTTCAAGTAATTCAAATACTGCACTGAAAAATGCTGGCAAATGTGGCACGATGCCATGTGATGTAACTCCCTGGATCACGCAGAGCATATAGTAGTGCATCTAAACAGGGTGATAATCAGCAGACTGACAACTAAAATAAGCGTGTGCATAAAAGAGAACATATAGACAGACATAACATATTGAGCCCATATATCACAAACGCTTGTAAAAACTCAAGCGGACAAGAGTCAACCTTGGTTCAGTTGTATGAGTTTAGGGGGTACTCTCAAGGGTCACAAGGACTAAACCAGTCCTAGCTCTGATCTCCTGGAATGCAGAACTGTATGTGATATTGTAAACACCCTCCCAGCATCAATAAAATGCGGTATCAGAGTACATATCAAAGATTTCCTTGGATTTAATAGGGTTCATGAACAGGCTGAGCTGCTGTGTGTCATCTTTGTCTCCTTTTTGCCTCACTGAAAGAGACAAGAGGGATTGTCACACCATATGATGAGGGCACTGTGATCTTTGACTCTTACTCAAATTTTGCTCTCTCCTCCTTTCTCAATGCCGCTCCCATAAGCCAACACAGACCCGCAACTCGATTGCAGTAACTTGAAACGGACGGAGACGATTTACGCAACCATAACTCACTATTCATAAACCTGCTACTTGGTGGATAAAATTCTGTCTGTCCCTGCGTAGTTCATGGTGACTAGAGAAAATTGATCTGTGAGAACTGCTGGCTGTTTTATGTGCCAGGAGTCACATTGATCCCTGACCAAATTAAATAAATAGATACCCAGAAACGATCAAAAAGCGTGCTTATAACGTCCTCAGATCAGAGACGGGAACGCTCCCAATATCTTTCTCAAGGCTCAACCTGATATACTGGTGACCTGCGTGTATAAAATTCTTCTTATGTAAGCAGAAATCACTCATGAAAAGGACAGATGTCTTTTCTTCTCTTTTCCAAGGCCACGGCAGCAGAAGTGGTCAAGGAGACGGGCTGGGGTCTCATATAAAAAACTCTTACAATCAATTTTCATCTTAAGAATCCTTTAAGAATCCTTAAAGATGGAAAACATAGAACACTATAACAGTGAGTTATTTTGCACCAAGAACATTTTAATTTTGAAAAAGTGATTATTCTGCTGTTTACGTAGAGACACTCAGGCCTGTGGTTCTTCGGCAAGTCATTGTCAGAGTCGTGGGAGGGCTGGAGGTGGCCAGCCTGATGCAGGCTAGCACAAAGAAATAGACAACCACTTGCACTGACATTCACAACTATGGCCAATTTACCCACTAAGTGCATTTCTTTGGACCGTGGAAGGAAGCCAGAGTACACGGAAGGAGAGAACCACTCGAACACTGGGAGAACATGCGAACTCCACACTGAAGGCCACTGTGCTGCCTTTTACGAACATAACAATAAGATATGTTAGTGAAAGGTGACAGGAATTGTTTGTCACACCGAAGGCTTTCTTGTCCTTGAGTTATGGAAGGACAGTGAAAAGTTAGTTTGCAGATTTGACAGACTTTATTTGCACATAATTGCCTTGCCTTCCAAAATAGCATCTCTCTGTTTTTGTTATCCACTAAACATTATAAAATGGGAAGCTACAAGGCAGGTGCGGTCAGTTTAAGTTGTTTTGTGATCTGAAACAGAAAATGACATTCTCAGAGCCTGTCTAAGCACCTTTATTTAGTCCTCAGCATCTTTCATGAATCGATTGTAAGCACGCGATCTAGACATCTGAACACATGATCTTAAGACTAAGTTCAAACATAGGACATTTTTATAAATGAGGCCCCAGGTCACTATTCACTATCCTTACTTTTATCTTCTTTTCCGCCTAAAGTGAGAGAGAGATTATTCTGCCAGACACCTTGACCCCTATGGGCTCCGCTACTCTGAGCTTGAATAAAGCTCTTTGAAAAGAAGATATTTTACATTAATGGACAGCCATCCAACAAGTTGCTTCAAAGCTCCCTCCCCAATCACCTGGTGTCCTATGGAGAGCTCGCCCCAACGTCAGCGCCATCCCCTCTTTGATTCCCTCCATCATCCTCATCATTAGAGGCTGACACACAGGCAGGCAAGCTTGCAAGCAGTCACCCAGGCAGGCAGGGCCGTCGAACGCATAGATGCACATGAGAAGCTTTTCAAGTGCAGAGAGGCTGACCTTCCAGGAGAGCGAGGGCAGCTTCTTAACACACAGCCTGAGCTCTGACACTCAGAATCCTACAGAGTGCTGTATATATGTGACACAGCATGGCTACCGCCTTGTAGACACCAAATCAGACTACAGCATCCAAACTGGTATATGTGCAGTCCACAGCAGGACCAACTTCCTCTTCAGCATCAGATCATGGACTTCCAGCCCTTCTGCCACGTTGCTTGAAACAGGGAACGTCAAACACCCCCTCTGGATAGTCTATACATGTATACGTGTACACACAGTCTGTCCCTTCATTCAGCTTGAATTGTTTTTTCAGTAGAGGCTTGATTATGGTGGATATACAGAGGATATGTGACTTTTTTTTAAAGGGCATAATTTGGGCTAGACTTATTTTTTTCTCATACAATATTGTTGTAATATTCTTATAGTTATAGTAAATAGCAAAAACATTAAGATGTCATAAATTAGCATTATTTACAACATTAAAAAGTCAATGTCATTCTAAAAAAAATTACTCACATCTGTGCACCTGCATTCACAAGAACAGCTTATATGTTCATCCCACTTTTATCATTTCCATTGTGCCTTCAAACAGTAGAGTGCTGTATCTTTAGCCTGAAAGTGGATATAGGGTTTCATGTCTAAGGAGTGCAAGATCATGAGTCACAATGCGTGTAGTTGTTTTTCCTTTTTTTAATACCTTTTAAGATCGGGTGTTTTGCACCCTGCTGTGTAACTCGTGATGCCATTTACAATGAGCTGTAGACTCTCGCAGGTGAAGGCTGCCAGCCTCAAGTGTAACTGTCCGCACTTGTTCATCTGTCTTTGTTAGTGTGTGCCAGATTGCGTGAGTGTGTGTGTGTTTTTGTAGGCTTCAAGTTATCGTGGATGCGTTTTGACAAGTGACATGCTGCACTCTATAAAGTGGGAGTGAGATGACTGACTAATTCAGGCTACGCAGATAACTGAGACGTAGCAGGAGGAGATTCAGGCCTTCACTCTGTCAGTCGGAGGCGCTCTGTGTTATCTGTTACACTGTCAGTGCAGACAACAAGACATAACTAGCAGGAAAGAGGAGGAGAAATTTGTAAATCATGAAACCTGCCTGTCATTGATGGTCAAAGCTGACAGCATGAGGCAAAAAACAGCTAGTTATTACACACTTTAATTAGCCATGAAAGGAGCTCATTAAAAATCTTTGGTTACAGTTCATTACAAGCTGAAATCCATGATACCATATCAATCCATGAAAAAAAAAAATACAGTTTACATTTCTATTTTACATTCTGTAAAATAAGAAAAATTCAGATTCCACCAGTCTTCTCCAAACTAGTGCCAAACTATTGATCTTTTGGATACTGCAGGTTTTTTATCATTTCATATTTGTAGTTTTAAAAATCTTTATTTATTCCAGGATAGCTTTTGGGCCTCTAAAACCAAAGCAGAGTTCTCTGGTCTAATTGTTTACAATTTGATTTGATACCTCAAAACACATTTTTCTGAGTTTATGGCCAATACAATATATATATATATGACTCCGTATTAGGGTTGTATTAGGGCCCCTATTACATGACTCTGTAACAGGGAGTTGTTTTGGGGGGTGAGGGTGGCTATACAATATATTTACTTTTGTCTTGGATTGATGCAACATTGTGACTATTCTCTGATCAATACCATAGGCCAAGCCAATGAGTTTAGTAAGTTTACACAAGACAAGCAGTAGGACAGAGACTTCTGAAAAGCGTGGGCAGCTCCTCAATAAGTCACAAATGTAGTTCCATTTCATACATCCCAGACGCATTTCGTCTGTATTTCCTGGAATGTTGTCATGTTGAGTTGGGAGACTGCCAAATTCATGGTGATCACA